TTTTTCCATCTCCGTCTCTTTTTTGTCTGTGTTTGTGTGCTGGGATGTATTAGGTGAGTGGATTAGAGAGGCTTCATTGATTTGAAGATTTTGCCTCAAATAAGCCCATTGGAAATCTGTCTTATTGAAGACAGATGAAGCATTCAGAGCAGTGGTTTCAGATCAGGCACTGCACAACTGGGGCTGCAGAGCGTAGACAATATCTGTTTGTTAAGACTGTGAGCGCTTGATTCATCAAAACATTCACCATGAGCATCTGAGGATAGTGTGAGCGTTGCTTTTTAGTCATTTGTTGGCTTCTGCTTTATACCAGAAGGCCAGAAGACCCCCGAAGGACTGAGAGATGAGCAGAGAGGTCGGGGGGATGCGGACGTGGTGGGGTGCCAAAACTTGGGAGCATGGAAATGTGTAAGTTAGATAGGAGGGAGGAGTTTCAGATACGGTCTTTACCCCAAGCTATGTTTATTTCATAACTCCATTTAAGGGCTGTTTGGATGGGCTTCCTTTTACATGAGGGGAGCAATAGTGTATTGATTATCATATAAAGTAAAGGTATGAAACTGTCACTGGGGTGGGACCCTCAAGGGTACATCTCAGTACCTTTAGTCAGGGAACATAACTGTACACTGTTAGGAATAAAGGTGCTGTGCAGGTACATTTTCGGTTCATCAAGGTATAAACAATGTAAATGTTCCCTCAAAGGTACAACAGTGGTTTTAAGGTCTGATTGTGAACCTTAAATAAGTTTTTCCAGGTGAAAAGTTTGTATTTGTACCTTTTCATAACTGAATGTTTTAAAACAGAACAGTAAAATAAAAGCCTGGAGACGAGACGGGGTGTGTAGAGTCAGTACAGCTTAGAACATATCATTTCAGTGGATTATGGTTCAGTTCTGTTCCCTGACTAAAGGTACTGAGATGGACCCTTGAGGGTCCCACCCCAGTGACCAGAGGGGCACTGCCCCAGGGACAGTTTAGTACCTTTATTTCTGTGTACCATAAACCATTAAAATAATATTTTCTAAGCTGTACTGACTCCACACACCCCGTCTCGTCTCCAGGCTTTTTATTTTATTGTTCTGTTTTAAAAGATCAGATTATGAAAAAGGTACAAATACAAACTTTTCACCTGGAAAAAACTTATTTAAGGTTCACAATCAGACCTTAAAACCACTGTTGTACCTTTGAGGGAACATTTACACTGTTTGTACCTTGATGAATTTGAACACAAGTGCTACATTAACCTGCAACTCTCGCACTTGTATAAGTGTGCTTGAACGCACACACACACAACGCGGGCTCAGGCCGAGGCGGATGCAGACTCAATTTCCGCTGTGGAACAGACCCACCTGTCTTTCCGTTTGAAAATTTCACCTTGACTCTCACTTCTCAGCTGTTTCACCTGTTCCTTTCAGTGGAGGGTGAAATCAATACACCTGCAGCCTGCTCTTTCGCCTTCGGGTGTACCAGATTTGTTTCACAGCTTCTGCAGCCACACGCTCTCTTTCATCCTCTGCAGAAGAAGCTCACGTCGAGTCATTCACAATTTTAGCACACAAAGGCAGCCACGCTTGCTTATGCGCTTGTCTTTTCTTGTCTTGAAGGACAATGGAGTCGTACGGAGTGATGCGTCGTTATCGGTGGCCACGTCCCGCTAAGACAAACGAACAAAATGAAAAGCGTCCAATTGCTTTAGACCAAAACGCACAGGCTAATCTTGGCGCGTTCAGTGCGTTTTCCCCATATTTCTGAAGTGAGAGAGCGAGTGTGTGACTCCAAACATGAATTCATTAGCACACTTTGATGTGAGCACGCAGCATGTGGTCCGTGGTCCATGCGTGTGCGTTTGTGCGTGGGTGGGTGAGCTTTCCAGAGGCTTATTTGGCTGCCAGTTGACTGCATACACAACATGTCTCTCCTCGTTCTCAGTTTTCCGAGGGCTGGAGGTCAACTTGCTGCATGGCTTTCTATATTCTGGATGCTAGGCCTCGTCTGCTCCTGCCAGTTGGCATTCTCTCACAGCGAGCCGACCCCTTCTACCCCCACAGGGAGGGGCTTGCCAGGATAAGCCAATCATAAGCCCCCCCCTCTGGATGACCTTGCAGATTAGCCAATTGTAAGCCCTGTTCCTGGAAGCTTTCGCCGCAGGCCTGGCCACCAGTACTGACCACTGAGCGATCAGGCTTAGAGTGGCACACACTGCACAAAAGCCTATGAGCTTCATATGCAGTAAATGAGTATATTAAAATGAGTGAGTACATAAATACAGTTAAATAAGGTTATGCGATTACACTTGATTACTTGATTAAATTAGCTCAATTTACGACATTGATTATTTAGCCGTTTGCATGATAGTGCATACTGATTAAATTCAGTCTGATGGGCACACTGATTTCATTTTTTTTGCCTTCAATCAAGTCTTTTAGGGATTTCATAGTCTTTCAGTGAAGTATTATTGAATCTTTAATAGACTTTCCTTAATTATTATCTATTTTTTACGTTTTGACTGTTTAAAAAATTGTAAAATACAACATAACTTCAACATAACTGTTCTTTTTCAAGAAAAAAGGAGGAAATATAATGTAGGGTCAAAAGATTTGTATTAAATTCTAGTTGCGAAGCCATTTTCAGTGATGAATAATTCATAGATTTGATTGAAAGGAGAGTATACTACATAAAACCTTTTGCAAAAATAATTCTGATTTATTTTAAAAATGCAAGATTGCACATAAACAGTGCATCCTTCAATAAATTAACCCACTGTGGGATTTTATTGGCATGAAACCTGTTGCATTTTTACACAGTTGAAGCTCAGTTCAGTCATTCTTTAAGCAGTTAATCTCAATATTTAAGATATATAGAACATAACTGAGCAAACTGTAAAGATTCATAACTAAAAAAGTGAGTGGAGCTAAATGGAACTAATTGGCATGACCCGTCTGCAATTGATACATTGCAAAAATGGCATCTTGTCAAGTAAAATCATCCTAAATCTAGTCGATATATCTAATATTTCTCATTTGGAGATGGTTGTGCACTTATTATTTTATTAAGTAAAATTATCTCACTATACTGGCAGATTCTTTTGCGGGTTTCAAGCACATTTCTTAAAACAAGCAAAATTCTCTGCCATATAGTGAGAAATTTTACTTAATAAAATTCCTTACAGGGAAAAAAAAGTCTAGAAATGAGGTAAATAATCTTAAATTAAGCTCACATCAATCTCAACAGGAGAAATATTAGATTTATTGACTATATTTAAGATAATTTAACTAACAAGATACCATTTTTTGCAGTGCAGTGACAGCTCTTACACTAAAATCCATTATTAACGTAAGCCTTTTGCGTTTTGGACGCATTTTGGCCCTTCCCAGGACGCTGCCTTTAAAATGTACAGCAGCAGTGTTGAATGTGCAGGATGATGTATGGAATGACATGAGCTTCTGGATTTAATTAATGGCGTGGGCTGATCAGCGGGCAAAGACAAATAGGAGCTAAATGCGGCCGCCTGATGGGGAGATAATGAAGTGTCACTGGGTTGTTTGGGTCAGAGCCGTGCTCCATGAGGGCACCAGCGATGCTCAGGGTCATTAATGCTCTGTCTGTGTTTGTGTACTGTTCACATCCATGCCTCTTCTTTTTGTACGTCCGTGATATTTGCTGGAATTAGACTCGTGTTCTTCCATTCACGGCTGCCTTTTCTGCTTCTCGCTCCATAAAACGGGGTTTAATGTCAATAATGTCTGCAGCACTATTGTGAAGTGGTTTCCTCGTGCTGCAGTTTGCCATCAGCCAACATTATCCCCCGCCGCTCAAATTACTCACGCTAGTCTGTCTCCTGCCACTGCCTCCTATACACAGCCGACGTCGCCGTCATAAGATCGGCTCTGCCTCTGAATGGCTAGGGTACTGACCCTTTTATTATTCGCCACAGCCTCTTGCTCTCCCTCAGTGTGGGGCTGCTTTCTGTTTCAATGGCTAATCATAACTGTGTGGTGGCTGCCCTTCAGTCTCTAACGTCTTAATGCCTACTGCAGTGGCTGAGCTGTGATTTTCATATCCGCTGTGCACCCAGCACTTAAGTGCCAGCCTGCGCGATGACTGCTGGCTTGCTTAACAGCCACAATTTGTATATCCTGCTCCCGCACTTTCTCGTGAACTCCTGTAAAATGTGTTTCAGTGGGGATTACAGCTTTTGCTGTCGCGCTTGGTGACGAAGCTCTGTGCATTAGCTGAGATAGCTGCTGGACTATTAGCTTGATGATCAGGAAAAAGTGACCGGACTTCGTGCCGGACTCGACCTGAGGGTAAACATGGCTGGATTGATGGTTTGATGTCCTTCTGCGTCTCTGTGTGTGGGCAGGCTACAGACCACAGGGATGGACTTTAACTGCATGAATAAATGATTCAAGGATGAGCAGGCAATCTGTTTTGTTTTTTTTTTCTCCCATTCTCTTCTCCTCTCCCTCCCTCTTGCTTTCCTTCTAATTGGCTCAGCAGTTTACCTTTGCTCATAAACATTGCAGGCATGCCTATATCTGCAAGCTAAGTCTCTTCCCTTAGCGATGTCAGTGGGCGAGCCGCGCTATCGGGAGAAAAGAGAGAAAATCGCCAAAGCGTGCAAATCGCTCGCAGAGGGGAAAATCAATTAGAAGGCCAGAGGCCTGGCTGTGAGGTGGGGCACTCGTGAAGAAGCGGTGCCCGTCTGCACTGATAACTCCTGGGGCAAATGCATTATCCCCATTGAGAATGGCATCTATTCATGCCAGCGGTGTCCTCTCCCTGAGTGCCCTTTTCACCATCCCCACCTAATTACTCCTGCACTTTGGAAATAGCTGGAAACTGTCATGCGGTGTGGGATAATTTGACTTCTGAGGTCAATTCTTCTTTCTCCTCCCTCTCTTCTGCCACCAGTCTCCTTGTAGGGCGTTTGGGGATGTGTACGTAAATGACACTTGCCTTGCCTGTTAAGCTAATATCTTTGCCTGTCTCTTTCCACAGGTCCATGATGTGTCCGGACCCGAGAGAAGCCTGAACACCGATTAGCTGCAAGTACTTGACTGAGACCTTCTTCCCCGTGGTATCATCAGGACAATGGCTTCCCACGACAGAAAACTGAACTGTCTTATTGTTTCTTGCTGCTTCTCCGTCCTGCTGCTCCCCCTGTCGGCTTCCAGGCCGCAGCAGCCTTCTGCTGCATCCAAAGTGGACGAGGACTACAGAACATTTCGTGCTGAGAATGGAGAATGGACCTTTAACCACCTGGCGGTGGACCACCGAAATGGGAATGTGTACCTTGGTGCGGTGAACCGCATCTACAAACTATCGGCAAGTCTGGAGGTGCAGGTGTCGCACCAGACCGGGCCGGACGAGGACAACCGCAACTGTTACCCGCCACGCATCGTGCAGCCCTGCAGTGAGCCGCTCACGCTCACCAACAACGTCAACAAGATGCTGCTGATGGACTACCGGGAGAACCGACTCTTGGCCTGCGGAAGCCTCTACCAGGGCATCTGCAAGCTGCTGCGCCTGGATGACCTCTTCAAGCTTGGAGAACCTTTCCACAAGAAAGAGCACTACCTCTCGGGCGTCAACGAGAGTGGCTCCGTCTTTGGCGTCATCGTGTCCTATGGTGACGCCTCGCCCGACAAGCTGTTTGTGGCCACGGCGGTGGACGGGAGGCCTGAGTACTTCCCAACAATCTCCAGCCGCAAGTTGGCCCGCAACTCGGAGGAGGATGGCATGTTCGCTTACGTTTTTCACGACGAGTTTGTGGCCTCTATGATCAAGATTCCATCGGACACCTTCACCGTGGTGCCGGACTTCGACATCTACTACATCTACGGCTTTGGAAGCGGCAACTTCGTCTACTTCCTCACACTGCAGCCAGAAATGGGTGGCGGCCCGGCGGCGGGCTCGTCCTCGGCTGGCCGAGAGCAGGTGTACACCTCCAAGCTGGTGCGCCTCTGCAAGGACGACACAGCCTTCAACTCTTACGTGGAGGTCCCACTGGGCTGTGTGAAGGGCGGTGTGGAGTATCGCCTCTTGCAGGCCGCCTACCTGTCCAAAGCAGGCGCCATCCTGGCCCAGTCACTGAAGGTCGGGCCAGACGATGATGTCCTCTACGCTGTGTTCTCTAAAGGCCAGAAGCGGCGGCCTAAGGAAACGTCCCAGGAATCGGCCTTGTGCGTGTTCTCCTTGAAGGAGATCAACGAGAGAATTAAAGACAGGCTGCAGTCCTGTTACAAAGGCGAAGGCACGCTGGATTTGGCCTGGCTCAAAGTGAAGGATATTCCCTGTAGCAGTGCGGTAAGTCATCATAGTATTACTAACCCTCCATTTTCCACTGGCAATGCGTGTAAATATCACAGTTACTTACTGTCACAATTAGTCACTGTTGCCAGTGCCGCACTGCTTATATTTAACCACTGAACCACCCACGCTGAATTATTATTATATCACTTGGCTAATGCTTTCAATCAACATGCTTTCTGATGGAAACAACTTGTTGTTAAGTACACTAGATATTTCCAAAAAATGGTAGACACCTGCTCCTCCAACATTTCTTCTGGAATCAAGAGAGTTTGTCCCCCTTCGCTGCAGTAACAGCCTCTACTCTTCTGAGAAGGCTTTACAATAGATGCTGGAACATTGCTGTGGGATTCAATTGCATTCATTCATTAGTGAGGTCGTGAGGTCAGGTCCAACTCATCCCAAAGGTATTGGAAAGAGCTCCATCACTCCTGAGAAGCAGTTCCATTGCTCCACAGCCCAGCGCTGAGGGGCTTTATACCCCACTTGGCACTAGTCGTGGAAACCTTAGGCTTGTGTGGTTGCTGCACAGGTGCTCCTTGAAGTAAATAAATTCAGTAATTAGTGTCTGGATACTTGTAGACATGTAGTTTACCTTCTGTAATGACACCGTGGCCTTAAAAGGGCATCGTCAGCCTGGATCAAACCCACAATCCATACTGCTTAAGTTGATGGCTGAGACTCTGCATGTAGTTTTAGTATCATTTGCTGTACAATCACTTATAACATGCAATACAACACCATTCAAAACCAGTTTTTGCTAACTGTGACATTCAGCACTGTATACAATTTCAGAATAAAGTGGGGTCATTCACTTGATTCCCACTGTACTGGCCACTGTACTGAAGCAATAAGAAGACAGTAGTGAGGATTTCTAAGCAATCAATAATTATATATGATACCGCAGAGATATGACACGATGCATTACCTTTGCTTAACTACTGTGTATAGACTACGTTTAGCTTCCGCTCATTGTAAGCCATAGCAGCATTTTTGCATGAAGTATTCCTTTAACGTGCCCAGTGCCAGGATCTGGTCGCAGGGAACGGTGAATTTATTAATTTGTTTGACAGCTCGGCTGGTAATATTTACAAATGCCATGTACTCTCCTGGGTCGCTGATTGATTTGAATTATTACGCAGGATGTTTAATACTCTGGCCGTGGCACGGTGACACCATAATTTGGACTTTTTCTCTGTGATTCAGATATAACCTGTTTAGAATTTAATAACTCGTTTATTAGATTTTTTCCTACTCCCATGGCCCACAAAATAAGGTTAAAGAGTCACCCCTTTAAAAAGCTGAGATGCTCAGTTGGGGCTGCAATTTTTTCATTAGCCCCTTTGATAAAAGGCAGACATGCTGAAATGCAAAATTGCCTTCCTCAGAGAGTCAATCTATTATTGTAATGGCATTTCATTGAATGCCAGCCACGGCCGGAATTAATCTCGCCACATTTTCTACTAATGCTATGGATTGCTCATTATCACGTAAACAACCAAGGCAGAGTTTAATGCATGTCATCTGCCTGTTTGTCTCTTTTGACAGAAATATGTGTGTGTGTGTATATATGTATATATTTACCATATAGGAGCACTTTGTAGTTCTACAGTTACAGACTGTAGTCCATCTGTTTCTGCGCATACTTTGTTAGCCCCCTTTTACCCTGTTCTTCAGTGGTTGGGACCCCCACAGAGCAGGTATCATTTGTGTTGTTGGCCATTCTCAGCACTGCAGTAACACTGACGTGGTGGTGGCGTGTTTAGTGTGTGTGGTCCTGGTACGAGTGGATCAGACACAGCAGTGCTGCTGGAGTTAAACACTGTGTCCACTCACTGTCCACTCTATTAGACACTCCTACCTTGTCAGTCCACCTTGTAGATGTGCAGTCAGAGACGATAGCTCATCTGCTGCTGCACAGTTTGTGTTGGTCATCCTCTAGTCCTTCATCAGTGGTCACAGGACGCTGTTGGCTGGATGTTTTTGGTTCTCAGTCCAGCAGTGACACTGAGGTGTTTAAAGACTCCACACACACTAACACACCACCACCACGTCAGTGTTACTGCAGTGCTGAGAATGATCCACCACCCAAATATTACCTGCTCTGTGAGGGTCCAGTGGGAGTCTTGAAGAACAGAGTGACTTAGTAAGGCGTGGGAATGAGATAACTAAGCCTTGAGCACAGCTTAATAAGGCATGGCCACGACTTAGTTATCTCATTCCCACAACTTACTAAGTTGCAACCACGCATTAGGATTTTGTTCTGGGATCTATACTGCAGCACGCTGAATATATATACATATACACTGTATATATATATATATATATATATATATATATGAACCATTAGAGCTGGTTTAATGTGGCTCAGTCAGTAATGATGTGTGTAGCGACTGTTGTGGAAGGTGAGAAGGTTGGACCATCAGGCTTTTCCTTGTAACTGAGTGGTGTAAACTGACGAGGATACATACAGACGCGCACACGCAGCACATACGCAGGCAGATAAATCAGAGACAAGGTGCTAGAGTGCTGTCTGGGAAAAGTGTGGGAAGCGAGAGAGAGAAAGAGAGAGAGATGGGGGGGTGAGAAGAGGTGTGTGGAGAAATGGTGCCGTTTCAGCACACGCTGCAGTACGGACACTGCAGCATAAATTAGAAAGCGGGCGTCACTGAGGGCGGGAGATAAATTGCTCGCTCCTCCGCCTGCTGTAACTATGGCTACCAGCTTTGCTGTTAAAAGCCAGGCAGAAGCGTTTGATTGGGTGTGGAGGGGGGGGAGATGGTGTGGGCAGGCAACCCAAAACAAATTATATCTGAGCGCTGTATTAGAGCAGCGGATCACATAACAGGCCCGCTTTTCACAAGAAAATCAGATGCTTCTACACACACAAACACGTATGTAACAGCTGCCTCACACCAGCCTGTATCTGACCAGGAAAAATCCAGCCTGATACAATGTCCAGTGAATGTTTTCACCTAAAATCCGTATAACATTTTAAGTAAATAAAATCCCGTTCTGTGGACGAGACCCCCCTGGACCCCCACTAACTCTTTAGTGTAGTGACGTAAATAAAGCTCCTGTTCAGGTTATTTTGACAGTAGGAATTAGGGGTGTGAGAAAATATCAGTACACTTGAGTATCGCAATATTATGTTTTGTGATACTGTATCAATTCTCAGAAACACAGCATCAATTATTAATTAATAGTTTACATGCAAAAATTCGTGGCAGACAGTGGTTTATTTTGTGTTGTGTTTAAATCTCCAACCTCTAGATAGCAGTGTTGTAGTCTAGCCATTAGACTCCTCTACTCCAACGTAAACAAGTAGCGGCATGTTAGCTTTAGTAAATCTACCTTTTTTAGATGTTAAAAATTGCAATATATCGCCTTGCTTATAGTATCCCAGTATGTCGTGATATATTGAATTGTAATCCCAGTATCATGATACAAGTTCTTGCCAATACACAGCCTTACACTGTCAAAATAAAGGTTCTGTTCAGGTACAGTTTTCGTTCATCAAGGTACAAACAGTGTAAATGTTCCCTCAGAGGTACAACAGTGGTTTTAAGGTCTGATTGTGAACCTTAAATAAGTGTTTCCAGGTGAAAAGTTCATATTTGTACCTTTTCATAATCGAATGTTTTAAACAGAACAGTAAAATAAAAGCCTGGAGACGAGACGGGGTGTGTGGAGTCAGTACAGCTTAGAACATATCATTTCAGTGGATTATGGTTCAGTTATGTTCCCTAACTAAAGGTACTGAGATGAACCCTTGAGGGTTCCACCCCAGTGATGAGAGGGGCTCTGCCCCAGTGACAGTTTAGTACCTTTATTTCTGAAAGTGTAGAAAGAATATGCTGAAGGAAATAATGTCATCTTTATTGAGTTTAAATGCAGCCAACGGCTCGGCTAGTAAAAGTGACAGCAGCTTGTGTTCCCCCTATTTGATCTTTTACGAGTGGCAGCGCATATTTATAATGCTCTGATTTGAGTGATTTAAGACATTTGCACGTTATCCATTGTGATAAAACAGAGAAAAATACACATTTAAAAGCTTCCAGATTCAGGAGTTGAGCTGGTTAAACTCAAGCACATCTCAAAATGCAAAAAAACTATAGATACAGTTCTGTACAAAAGTCAGACATCATACAAGTTGTTCATTTATCCAGAGATATTTCTGAGGAGATATAAAATAATCGACTTGCATAAGGAAGCAGAAAGTCAAAATGAAAATAAGTGTAAAAATAAGAGTTTACAAAAAGTGATAAAAAGCTACAGAGCAAAAGGGACTCCTAACAACCACCTGGAAGACCTGGTCGACACTAAAACTGCCCCCATCAGTTAAACAGCACTTAAAGCTTTCATCTTTGAGAGAGAGGAGAAAATCAAGCTACTTCAGATCTGAAAACATCCACAGGTGTTTCTGTCCATCCTTCCACTGTGAGAAGACGACTCAGCGCTGTGGGTCTGAAAGGATGTGTAGCTGTCAAGAAGAACCTCACTGAGAAAAGGAGACGGACACATCAAACAAAGAAGCTGAACAATGGACTGACCACCCCAGAGTCCAGACCTCAACACCACTGAATGTGTTTGATTACTTCAGAAAATGATCAACCAACTTCCAAGACTGAACTTTGGAGGTGTGTCTGCAGATTCTTTGAGGAACTGAAAGCCAGTCTCCCAAAAAGAAACAAGCCAAAATGAAAAATTGATATTATATTTAGTTTTTGAGGCCTCTGAGTGCTTTTAATGGCTGTTTTGACAGGAAATAAAGGAATGTAGGTCTCTGACTTTTGCAATAGACATTGAAAACAGCCTGGTTTAAGTCAATATCAGAGGATAAACCATGTTAAGTATTTGTTTGGTAAACTGAGTCATTCCCGGACTCTGCGACCACTACAGAAACATCCTACCGTAAACTCTGCATGCATAAGCAAAAACCACTCACCTGCTCTACCCCCCCCACAGCCCCCCGCACATAAACACACAGGCGGCCG